TCTGCTGGGTGAGCCGATTACACCAATCGAGGGGCGGAACCTGCCGAGAAAGCAGTTGATATGTCCTACAACGCCTTGATGAACTGCGTTGTGACTGCAACTTGGAGCTGTAGAGGTCACACCGAAGTCGCCGTGATGAAAGTGGTGCCAAGACGAAAAACCATGAGTTTGGTGGTAAAGCGAATGTAATTTGAACCCACGGGAGGTCGGATCAAGGTTTGTGTAAAGATTGTTGAGCATTTCTGGTTCGGTGTCGAAGTACAAATCTGGTGCGGCCTTGTTGAACGACATCAGGACATCGGACGTTGGATATTCGCGTTGGATGATTCCACAGCGTTTACTGCCCGATCCTTGGCCAAAGACGACAGAGCCGTCTTGATTCCGGCTCGAGTTTTTCGTCTTTCGTCGATCCGGACGTGCAGATTCGGTAAGCGTCAATTGTGATCTTAGACCACGTCGTGATCAGCGAGGTTGGTTATACGACAAGACGCATGCACTCTTGATAAGGATCCTGGTTTCATTTTATTAGAGGTGCCAGTGTTACAGCAAATTCACGTAGCTTGAGTGCAATTTCGTGATTTCTACCAGAACTTTCTAACATTTTAGACTTCTTCAACTCATATCTTCGGTCGAACGTCAATGATATCCTGATTTCAAGAATCCTTTGGCTGGACCTTTTGAGCTCAATCTGTGGGTATTGCTGTCATACTCTTATACCGAGTTCTCTTTTTGTGTCTCTAAAATGACGCTTCTAGGTCAATAATGGCGCTAGCGATGCCAGCGCTTATAAATTAAGTTCAAGGTTGGTACGGCTACCGTTCTTCGAGCACTGCGTAGTTGAATCCACGCTCGATGGACATACTGGAACTGCTGCTGTAAACGCTCGCGAGATCATCACGCGTGCCGAGGAACGAATTCTGGTCACTCACACTCACATCGTCGCCAATATCACTGACACGACGCTCGCGTTCCAGCAAAGTTCGCAATCTTCCAGCCACCATTGCAGCCGTAGGACGCAGCGTCGGCTCGAGTGTTAAACACTCCATCATGAGCATCGCCACGCCTCGTGGACAGCGATCGGACAGTGACGGACGGATCGCCCCAGTGCGAAGTAGCTCGAGCACGGCGCTTTCCGGCAGTGGCTGTCCATTGGACAATGTTACTTCAGAGAACGGCAACTCGTGACTGTCAAGTTCCGATAAAATCACTCCGAACGAGTAAATATCCACGGCAGTGGAATATCTGGCGTCACCGGATAAAACTTCCGGCGCGATCCAGCGACTAGTGCCGATGGAGCGTGTCATGGCAAACTGGTCGCCCGAGTCTTCGTCGTCGTCATCCTCGCCTTCCAATGAGTGAGAAATGCCGTAGCGACTTACTCCAAAATCCGCCACTTTGGCGGTAAATGTGGAATCCAGCAGGATATTCCTGGATTTTAGGTCCCGATGAAGAATCGGTTTGGGTTGTCTAGAGTGCAAGTACGCGAGAGCTTCGGCAATATCCAGCGCCATGGATAATTTCCTCGATCCCCAGGCGCGCGCTCGGACGTCGCTACGCGTACGCGCCAAATACTGACGTAGATCCCCGCCACTCATGAATTCCAGTACCATTTGTAGATCTGTGGCGTTGTTCGACGACCCAGAATCCAATTTAGACGGCGTGGACCATGCGACCCCGTAGAACGCCACAATTTTAGGGTGGCTTAAGGTCGCGAGGAAGCGGATCTCGGCTATAAACCTGCGTAAGGCGCTGTCCCCGGGTGATCCCCGGGATTTCGTTCTTGTTCTCGAATTGGAGCCCGACGTCGCTCCCGTCCCGCCGACACTTTGCCGGCTGTGGCGGCTGTTCTTGCGCCACGATTTCGTTCGAGGAAGCGATGGCGGCATTGGCGGGGAAAGTTTCTTCACTACGACCGTCTCGCCTAAGTACGTCGCGAGCCAGACTGTGCCGTACGCTCCTGCTCCTAGCGGTCGAATGGGAGCGATGTTCTCGGCGTCAATCCGCCAGGAAGAAAGCGCTTCTTCGTCTTCGTCCGTCAACACCATCCGGTTGTTCGGAGCGCCTCTCCGACGGCCTAAGTGGTAGATCGGCAAGGTCGGAGACCCAGCCTCTAGGTCCACGTCCACTTGCCTCCGCTTCTGCCGCTTGCAACAGAAGAACATGACAACGATAAAGGCCAGTAGAAGCACCAGTGGGATGCTGATGCTCAGCCACAGCTCCAACGTCTTGTCATCCGACGTGTCGGAAGTGTCGGCCGCACTGCCGGTACTGTGCGAATGAGTATCGGAAGAACCTGTGTCGGAACCTGTGTCGGAACCTGTGTCGGAACCTGTGTCGGAACCTGTCGAGATTGCCTGCTGCAACTCCGCAGGTGCTTCGGCGATGACGCCTTCCAGCCATCTGCG